AATAAACATGTAAAACAGAGCAAGTAGAGAACAATAAAAACAAAAGATGCACAAGGCAAGTGATTTAAAACCAGCTTGGAACACTGAATCTTCAGTAATAATAAGTGGTGCAGGAGATGGGTATCAGTCCCAGTTTCTCCTCAGCCTTGGTACCATTAACTTTGGATAACTCCTTTGTCCTGAGCATTGTAAATGCTTATCCAGCATCATTAAGTATGTCCACTAGGTCTCAGCAGCACACTGTGGCTGTGACCATGAAAACTGTCCAGCCCAGGCTCCTTGGATCAGTTGGTTGGAGCATCATCCCTTAAATAAATAGGTCATGGGTTCACTTCCCTGCCAGGCACATACCTTGGTTGCAGTTTTCTTACCCAGTCAGGGCTCGTGCATGAGGCAACTGCTGGATATTTCTCTCTCACATCAATGTTTCTCTACTTCTCTCTTTCACTTCCTTCCATTTTGACAAAAACCAATGTGCATGACCTCAGGTGAAAACAAATAAACTCTCCCCAGATGTTGACAAATGCACCTTGTTTTTGCCCTGAGTGGCAAAATTCTCCTCTTGTCTCTCACTTCCCCCCTAACACCACTTCAAAATCCCTGCTACAAATAATACCCTCATGTATATGACGATTTTATTTTTAATTAGTTTTCACAACAGAGCCTGTAAGAGATAGCAGATGGATTTCAGGTAGCAGAGGAAAAATTGAATAGAGATGAAGAGAAGCTGGGGATGCCAAGGCAATGCCCATTCAGTGCTAGCTTTCAAGGCTTGTAAGGACAGGATACTGATCTTTCTTGGAGGGCAGTGATGTAGGCTGCATATGGAAACCCTTTGTGATTGACAGCTTGAGGACCCCAAGGCCTCCCAGGATATCCATGAGCACACCTGCCAGTGTACTGCAGGAGCAGCATCAAGCCCTGGATTTCCCCCTGGCTCATGTGGCTCAGTGGATTGAGCACCAGCCTGCGAACTGAAAGGTCCCTGATTCAGTTCCCACTCAGGGCACATGTCTGGGTTGCAGGCCAGGTCCCCACTTGGGGACATGACAGAGTTAACTGGTCAAAATATCTCCTGTTCTTTCTTCCTCCCTTCCTACCTCTCTAAAAATAAATAAATAAAATCTTAAAAGAAAAAAGGTGTGGATGACCCAGCTCCTCCTCCAAGATGCCCTGCTGAGGTGTTCTGCCAGCAAAATGCAGAAGTACTGATTGGAGAATTGATTTGGACCCTAGCTCCTGGGGTCCGCCATTATTATGGAAGAGATACAAGACATTCATTCAGACTACTGAGTCTGTGGAGGAAAAGGGACAGCATGGCTTTTTCTCTCGAGGGGAGCAAAAGCTGTGGCCTCTGCCATGACAGGCCCTTATTGGGTTTCTCAGCACATAAAGTGATGGTCCTCATTTACTATGCACAGGTTTGCTTCAGGTGGTTACGTTTTACAGAAAAGAAAGGAGCCAATGCCACTATTCACATTACAGAGGAAGGATATTTGCAAATGAAAAGGGAAAAGTGGTGGAACCAGTTACACTCCACACTGGAAAGTTTTAGCTTGGATTTTAGGAAGTTACAGTAAGCACTTGCTGTCTCAATTCAGGGTGAGGGAGTTTTAGCAAAAGCAAGTCTCAAAGCAGCTTAGGTACTTTGCAGGCCTGATTGCCCCATGGGGCATGGGTCTTGTGCATCGGACTTTGCTTTCCACTGGGAGCTGGGCTCATGCCACGCAGAACGGCCTCCTACAGAGAATCACATGCCTTTCAATTTTTGCTTGTTGTTGCCACTGTTTATAGACATCCCCCTTATTGGAGACCTCCATCCCAATATCGAAGTGGTGCTTCTCAGTCCAAACACCATTTCTTTGAGCCAAACAATGAATCAAGGAGGTATAGCAGATGTTAAGGATTCCTTAGCTCAGGAGGTGCTTTGCCCAGGCTATTGCTGCAAATGAAGAAGACACTGGTATAATTCTGGAAGGGTTATAACATCTCTGACCATATCAAGAGTTTTGCTTCTGTTGCTGACTCCCGTGAGGGTGGGTTTGTGTACATTTTAGGACCCTGTGGGTCTCTGCAGTGAAGTGTCCTGAGAGTCTGGGAGTTCCTGCTTCCCCTTTGTTTCCCATGGTTTATCTGCATGCAAATGTGGGACCGCCCAGTCTGCCAGCTGCTGCCTTGCTGGCCAGCTGCAGCCTTGTGTGCTCTGTTCCACAATCAGCCACCTGGCTGGGTCCACCAGTCGCCACCTTGTCTGCCCCGGTCCCCTAGCCGCTGCCTTTCTGTGAGTTCCCTCTGCTCCAGTTGCCCTCTCCGCCCCTCCTACTGGTCTGGATGAATGTGTCTTCTTTAACTCCTTGGTTGTCAGACTTCCATACAGTTGGGTTTTCTATCAGTTCTGGTTGTTTTTTGTTTTTAAATTGTTGTTGTCCTTCTTTTGGTTGTGGGAGGAGGCACAGTGCGTCTACCTGCGCCTTCATCTTGGCTGGAAGTAACTATTCACCTTTGATTTGGGGTTTGTATTTTCTGTGAATCCAAACGTACAAATTAAGTGGCTGTGGTCTCATATGTGCCTCTTAATGGCACACATTGCCATCTAGCAAAGTACTTAACCCAGGAGGCTAAAAGCAAAGGAAGACATATCTCACCCTTGGACCCACTAGTCCTGAGTCTGGTTCATTTGATAAGACTGCCAGGCATTCCCAACAACACCAGCAAAACTATAACCCTGCAAGGTTGGGGGGCCTTGGAAGTCTGTGTATATCATCGCACCTAGCTAGGAAAAGGAGAACCTTAAGATTGTGTGTTCATTCCAAAGCCTGGAAGGGAGAGAGCGAGGAGGTCCACAGTGAATCCCACCAGATAGCTCTCATTATTGCCTTCGTCTTGTCACCAATGCAAAATGAATAAATGGAGCCTGGAGCAAGATAAGGATTCAGGCTAACATATCCCACACATACCGACATTTGGGTAGTAATGTTGCCCTGGGAAAGCTGGCACCACCTCTACTGTCAATGAACATGTGATTTCCTCACCCCCATCCCACCAACTATGTAAGTCCTCAGAACAAAGGACTTGCTCTCTTGGCCCTTTTGCCACATGTGGGGCCCCTGGACACCCAGCCTCTGGCCACCCTGCTCTTGACACCCTTGCTGTTGCTTTCCCATTAGAACATAGCACTGATATACTTTGCTTGCATGCTAATAGGCTTGATGATTTATAATTCTTTACTGCATTGTCAAGAAGAACCAAGTTTCTGGTAGTTTCTCCCATAACATTTGATATTAAAGCTTTTCTCCAGCTAGTGCTCAGCTGGTTATTCAGGATGCATTCTCCACAATTTCATTGTAATTCCAGTTTGGCGCTGGGAGGAGGTTAGAGTGGCTTCCACTTCCTCCTACACCATCTTGGTTCTGGTCTAGCTCCATCATTATGCAACACATGAATGTACATGATTTAACGTCTGTCTCCTCACTAGACTGTAAGTTGCATGAGGCTTGATGAAAATGTCTGCTTCATTTACTGGTGGGGATCAACCTATGCCACTCCAAAGCATTCCACATTGATGTGAGGATTATTTTGAGTGGAAGGCAGTTGAGGAGAAGCAGATACAGGTATCCCTACTTTTCAGAAGTTCTCTTCATGCCTCTTCACTGTTAGGAGGTCATAGGTTAGTACCTGTTTTTGCTAAATAAAATTTCAAAAAGGATTATTGCCTTTGTGAAAAAAGACAAAAAGAATGGTGTTCATTGTTTTGCATAGAGCCTTTATACAGGCAGTGATGGGGGGCTCAAATGTTGGAAAAATTTTAGTTTCGTGTAATAGCTAGGAAGCTTAGTAATCAATGTATATAAAAAGCTACTGTTTCAGGAACTGAAGGTATGACCCACCTGGACTACAGGAGACCATGAGCACTTCCACCTTTGTGCCTCAGGAGGTCTCAAGCAATCAAGATGGAATCTGAGCCATTGTACTCCAGGGTGAGTTGCCCACCACCCAGGACACAAAGACCACCACCCAGGGCACAGATGAAAGGATGTTGCAGCTTTTTATCTGATTACCTTTTCCCTGGAATTCCAATCCCCTTTTCCACACTCTTCTTCCTTCATAAAAAGGGTCGGTTGAAAATTCAAAACAGTTTGTTAAGGTACAAATCTGCCTTCCTCTCAGATTGCCGGCCGTTTGAATAAAGAGCCCATAAAGATTCAATCCCTGTCTCTGCTTACTGGGTCTCCTAGGTGACAGGGAGCAGAAACTCCAGTTTTTCTGGTATCAGCAGAGCACAACCCCAGCTGCTAAGCTCCTTCCCCAGTAGTTATGCTCACCGGCTCAGCATGAAACTGCCATGGGTTTGAACTGTGTCAGTGAGGCTCTGTGCTCCATTTCATTTACAAAATGTCCCCTAAGGTAATTATGTCTTTTCTTCAAAGCATTTCACTTACAAAAGATTTCATAGAAATGCTTTACATTTGGAAGGGGGTGGGGGAAACTACAGAGGAAGAGCTCTGCTACCTCCCTATCTGCTTAAAAAGCAGGGCACAATCTCCTACAGGTGTTCTTCCTCCCTCTTCTATCCAGACAGAGGGTCATCTCCTGAAACACCTCCAAGTCTTAATCAGCCCAGAGTCACTATCAAAGGAATCTGCATAACAAACCTTGGCAATTAGCAGCTATCTTCAGGTATTTTTCCCCATATATTTACCTTCTTACCTTCCCCCATGTTACACACTAAAACTTTTTTCCCTTTATCTTATCACTTCTCTAACACTTTATTGTTCTTTTACTAAGCTGCAATATAAGCCCACAGGGTAGTGTCATGTGTATGTGAAATACATGTTAATACAATTTTGTTTGTTTTTCTCTTGTTAATGTGTCTCTCCCTAGTCTAGTTTACGGGGACCTCAGTCAACAAACCTATGGGTAGAGGAGAAATAAATTCCTTATATCACCATAGTATGTTTGGTATCTAGCACAGAAAACTATTTGTTGACAAAATGAATCAATCATTTTATGCAAATGCAGTGTTTTATTTGCAGCAATTTGACTTAACAAGCCATTATTTCTACTGCATAACATTCACATGAAATAGTTTATGTTTCTCTTCCTCTCTGTCTTTCACACAGAGACATATATAATCTGTTACACTATTTTCTGACTACAAGTAATATTTGATCAGGTGTGAGTAATTGCTGAAAAATAATATGATTCTGAAAGCAGCACACAGAAAAGATGGTTAGTGCACAATAACCTAAAATCAGATGGAATGTGAAAGCAGTGTGTATTTCAGCGTCTAAGGAACACGTCCCACAGAGTTCTCAGAGCCAGCAGCCAGCCTCAGGGCCCGCTCATAGCACCCCAGAGCTTCATGCATTTCTCCTTTCAATTTGTAGACAAACCCAAGGATGCTCAAGCTTTCTACGTCTGCTCCATTTCTCCGAAATTTCTTTAAAATCAATTTCTCCAAAGCACTGAGACTATTTTCTCTTGAAAATGTTGACTTTTCTATTTTTATTGCTTTTAAATAATGGATTACTGCATTGACTTCAGATTTCATATGAAATTCTTGAAATTGGCCATACTCGAAATGAATATATTGCTGTATATGATCACCAAAGATCTCTATGCTCAGCAGTGTCTGAAAAGTGTCTTCAGCCACTCTGTGCTGGCCCACTTCTGCATACATCTTGGCCAAATCAATATACACCTGGTGAAATATGGGCCTTAACTCTATAGCCTTTTTAAATTCACAGATAGCCTTCTGAACTAATCTATGGATATTTTCTTTATCTCTTTCTTTGGGCTTCCAGTGGTTAGCTTTCTTTATTTGAATCATTTGTGTCTTGTAGCAAAGCCCTACCTGGTGATGCAGGAAGGCAGAGGAGGGTGTTTTCTTCAAAGCCATTTTTAAGAAGTGAAGAGCTTTATCTACAGAGCCTTTTCTTCGGTAAAACTTGCCCGCATATCGAAAGACATAGCTTTGAGAGGATGTGCTGTGCAATGCTTCTTCAATGTACTTCTCTCCCTCAGCCTCTTGACCTACACCCTGCAGTGTGAGAGCAAGGAGAGCTTTAATATATGCATCCTCTGGATTTAGCCTGATGGCCCGTTTTAGCGTATGTAGGGTTTGGGATTGTTTGCTGAACACATCCAGACGAGAGACAGCGATTGCATACCCAGTGTTGAATTCTGGATTTTCAGGGTCCACTTCCAGAGCCTTTTCAAAGCAAGCTTTTGCTCGTTCATAATTTTGTATTCCACACTTCAGGAAGGCCCATCCTTCCTCACAGTTCATTTGTGGACTCTCCACTGTGTAGCACAAGGAGCTGGCAAACTCCTTGCAAATGCTTTCCACCTTGTCCAAATACATCTGGGCTTCTTCCAGTCTGCCCATGTGGTAACACAGCCAGGCGAAATTGCCCCAGGTAACCAGTCTTCTCACGTGTGCTTGGTCATCCTGTTCTGTCTGGACCAAGTCTTCAGCCTGTTTCAAGCTCTGCAGGGCTTCCTTATTCTGGCCTTTCAGGTGTTGCACATAGGCCAGCAGGTTGTGTACTGACACATTAAATTTTGTGTCTAGAAACTCAATTTCTTCCAAGACCCTGTTTTCTAAATCAGTGGTTTCAACATCTTCAATGAGCAACTTCCATGTAAAATGGCATCTCAGCTGCTCCAGTCTATCTTTGAGCTGATCTTCCTCAGAATTCTTACTGTGAAAACACAAGCATATTTTCTTTGTTAGGTGAGGCAATGTCAATGGAGAGAAGCCAGATAAATCACTTCAGATTAAGAGGTTAGCCTAGAAAAGGACACAGCTGCCTCATTTTTTCTTTTTCTTTTTTTTTTAGAGTTCCTCTATAGTTAACCCTTGAGCAACACAGGTAGGAACTTGTAGGCTCACTCATATATATCTGGATTTGTTTCAGTATAGTCAGTCCTTCCTATCAGGGGTTTCACATGCAAGGATCCAACCAATTGTACTTGAACACACCACTGTGTTTGATCTGTGGTTGGTTGAATCTGTGGATATGAAAGGCTGACTGTAGACTTTAAAGTTACAGTGAGTTTTCAACTGTGTGGGGATGGGGGTGGGGGCTGGGCTTGGCATTCCTAACTTCCTCCCTGTTCAAGGGTCAACTGTATTTCTAAGACCTGCATGAAGTTTGAATGCAATGTGCTTGGCCCCATAGGCTGGCTCCAGCACTTTCTCCCCAAATAACCTCTTTCTGCCTCAATGTCCTATTTGAAAAATAGAGATAATAATAGTTCTTATGACACTGGGTTTGGTGAGGAATAATAAGCCACATGTGCAAAGCACTTAGAGCACATTATGTGCTATATAAGAGTCTCCTGGCCCTGTGTGGGTAGATCAGATGGTTAGAACATTGGCTGGATACACCAATGTTGCTGGTTCAATCTCTGGTCAGGGCACATACAAGAAGCAAACGATGAATGCATAAATGAATGGAACAGCAAACTGATGTCTCTCTCTCTCTCCAAATCAATAAATAAATGTTTTAAAACAGAGTTTTCTATTTTCCTACTAATTCAATTTGGACAGAATGCAGGTAGAAATGCAGCACCTCAGGACCTTAGTCTGCAGATTATTCAAGAAGATAAGACCATTAAAAAGAGATAATTTTGACTAAGTACTTTTCCCACTAATTATTTGAAAATAATCATAATTTCACAGAGAGCAAAAGGAACACATAGTTTTAGTGCACCCTTCAGCAAGTTTCTTCCAATGATTACATCTTACACAACTATAGTACAATATCAAAGTTAGGGAATTGAAATTGGTATAATATGTGCATAGTTCTATGTCATTTCATCACATGAATGAATCCCGGGAACCACCACCACCATCAAGATACAGAGCTCTCTGATCATCACAGATATTTCCCTTCTACTGTCCCTTTACAGTCACATCTGTCTCCTCCTTCCCTGTTGAGAAATCCACAACCTCTGATAACCACTAATTTGTTCTTTATTTCTGTAATATTGTCATTTCAAGAGTGTCACATAGATGGAAACATACAGTACATGACATTGGAGATTGTGTTTTTTCCCTTATCATTGACACTTGAGTTGTTTCAAGTTTGGGCTTGTTACAAATAAATGTTCTATGTATACTTTTCTATAGGCTTTTGTCTGTACAAACATACAAACAAAGTACATTTTTATTTCTCAGGAGAAAATGACCAGGAGTGCAACAGCAAAGTCATGTGAAAGGTGTGTGCTCACATTTTCCAGAAATGGCTAAACTTGGTGGACTTAAAGGGATAGACTGACAGCAATATGGCCATAGTAGGGGACTTGAGCACCCACTGACTACACTGGATACATCTCCCAGACAAAAAATCAGCAAGAATACAGAGATCCTAAACAACACACCCAATCTCATGGATTTAATTGATATTTACAGAACATGTCAATCCAAAGCAGCAGAATGTACATTCCTTTCTTTTATTATGATATTATTCATTTATTTTTAGAGAGAGGAGAAGGGAAAGAAAAAGAGAATGAGAAAAACATCAATGTAATGCTGCCTCATGGGTGTCCCTCACGGGGGACCTGGCGCATAGCCCAGGAATGTGCCCTGACTGGGAATTGAACCAGTGACCCTTTGCTTTGCAGTCTGGTGCTCAATCCACTGAGCCACACCAGCCAGGCAGAATGTACATTTTTTTCAAGTGCACATGGACCATTCTGACACAGAGACCACATATTAGGACACAAAATAAGTCTTCACGAATTCAAGAAGACTGGCATCATATCCAGCAGCTTCTCCAGTCATAATGGCATGAAACTAGAAATCAAGTATGGAAAAAAATAAAAAACATTTAAACACATTGAGTCGAAATAGCATCTTATTAAACAATGAATGGATTACCAATGAGATTAAAGAAGAAAGAAAACATGCCTGGAAACAAAGGAAATGAACACACACACAACAACCCAAAATGCACGGGACACGGTGAGGACAGTCCTCAGAGGGAAGTTCATAGACCTGAAGAAGCAAGAAAAATATCAAATAAACAATATAACCCAACACTTAAAAGAACTGGAAAAACAACAAGAAAAGCCAAGGGTAAGTAAAAGGAAGGAAATAATAAAAATCAGAGAAAAAAATAAATGACATAGAGTCAAAAACAAAAGATCAATGAAAGCAAGAGCTGGTTCTTTAAAAATATAAACAAGATTGCTGAAGCCAGTCTCATCAAGAAATAAAGAGAGACAACCAGTACATCAAATCAAAAATGAAAGCAGCAACATAACAACTTACATCACAGAAATAGAAAGGATTTGATGATAAAATTATAAACAATTATATGCCCATAAAATGCACAATGTGGGCAAAATGGACAAATTCCTAGAAACATGTGGTCTTCCTAAAGTCAATCAGGAGAATCAGAAAACCTGAATAGACAGATAATAAGTAATGAAATTGAAGCAGGAGTCAAAAAACTCCCAGCAAACAAAAGTCATGAGCTGAATGGCTTCACGGGTGAATTTTGCCAACTGTTCAAAAAAGAATTAAAACCTCTCCTCAAAAGATTCCCCCAAAATTCAAGAGGATGGAAGACTTCCAAGACCTTTTTACAAGGCTGGCATATCCTAATTCTAAAATCAGATAAACATACTACAAAGATAGAAAATCATAGGCCAATACCCTTGATGAGCATAGATGTGAGAGAGAAAAATCTATTGATGATCTCCCTTCTACGCTGTGACAGTGATGGAACCCACAGCCTTTTCGTGTGCGGGAATGTACAACATGACCAAGTGGGATTTATCATGGGGCTGCAAGTTTGGTTTCACATTCACAAATCAAAAAATATAGTACATCACATAAAGAAAATGTAACATAAAAAATCACATGCCCCTATCTATAGATGCACAAAACGTATTCAATAAAATCCACAACAAAGAAAGGCTCAGGACCAGATGGCTTCACTAGTAAATTCCACCATACATTTTAAGTGTCAGGAGCTCAGATGAGTTGGGAGGGAGAGACAGTTGAACTTCCAGGGGTCAGAGTAGACAATTAAAGCACCCAGCCCAAAATGAAAGTGTTTTGCCTTTAATTGTGACTGTGATGGTATCAATGAGAGTGCACAATGGAGAATATGCCAAATCCCCTGTTCCATCTCCCTACCCCCAGCCTCCAGCATGGTACACAGGCTGAAGTTCAGGTAGATCAGCACAGATGTGACTGAGAGGCCTGAACAAAACTTTCTGGCAGTTAATGGACCCTGAAGTCTGAGGAAGGGTGGGGTTAAGTGCTAGGAGTGGAAAAGTACTGGGTACTGACCATAGTGGGGTAAAGAGTCTTCAAGTTTTCCCTCTCCTCTCCCCTCTATGGAAATCTCAGCAGAGGTGTCTGAAGAGTAGCTCTGATCAAGGCCTCAAACAAAGGAGCCAAGGAATGAGGGTGCCTGTCCTAGGATGCAGAAAAGTGAGAGGCATGTCAAACCAGAGAGGACCTGCATCACTGACTAACCTCCCTTCAGACACAGCAGTCCATTGGCTGTGCACCAAGTGTGCTATGTGAAAGGCAGCCTTCCCCTGTGACACCAGTCAGGAGAACCCTTGTAATTTCCTATGGTCGGGCCTAAAATAATTCACATGGGGATTTTCAACCAGGACTTGGACTCTTCTTTAAAAAAAAAAACCAAACAAAACCAAACATCTCCAAAAAATTAAATAGAGAGAACACTATGCTTTCACACTCACAAATTCTAGGAGGCCAGCATTACTCTGATACCAAAGCCAAATGAAGATAATAAGAAACAAATTAAACTAAGACCAATTTCTCGTACAAATGTTCATGCAAAATCTTCAACAAAATACTGGCACACTGAATTTAACAGCTTAAGAAAAGGATTTTACACCCTGACCAAGTAGGGTTTATTCCTGGGATGGAGGAATGGTTTCAATGTATGAAAATCAGTCAGTTTAACATACCACATTAACAGAATGAACAGAAAAAAATCCACATCATCATCTCAGTTAATATAGAAAAAACATTTGAGAAAAATTCACTACCCTTTCATAATGTAAGCACTCAAAATACTATAATAGAAGGAAACTACCACAACATAATAAATGCCATCTATTGCAAGTCCACAGCAAGCATCACACTCAGTGGTGAGGGGTTGAAAGCTTCTCCTGTAAGATCAGGAACAAGGTAAGGATGTTTGTTTGTGTCACTTTTATTCAACACAGCCCTGGAAGTCCTAATCAGAGCAATTAGTCAAGAAAAAATACACGCATCTACACTGGAAAGGAAGAAGTAAATATATATCTGTTCAAAAACAGTGTGATTTTGTACATGGACAATCCTAAATATTACACACAAAAACTGTTAGAACTGATAAAAACTTTTAGCAAAATGGTAGTATACAAAATCAGCACGCCAAAATCACTTTTGTTTCTATACACTAGCAAGAATCATCTAGAAAGGAAAACAATTCCATTTACAACAGCATCAGAAAGAATAACATATTAAGAAATAAACTTTTGTAAGGAGGCAAAGACATACACTGAACACTACTACTACACATTACTGAAGAAAATGAAGAAAGACACAAATAAAAGGAAAGGCATCCTGTGTATAAGGATGGGAAGACTTAAATTGTTAAGACATAAATGTGGCTCTGGCTAGCGTAGCTCAGTGGATTGAGTGCAGGCTGCGAACCAAAGTGTT